AAGCCGGAATGCTAATAACCATTTTAAATAGTGGGCACCTTGGCTGTACTTTAGAAGAGGCTCAGGTGTCCTTAACTTTCTGGTTTCATACCAGAGATGGAATTGACGTTATCTGAGGCATCACCAGGAACCTTGAATGTGTTCAGAGGAATAGCATCTCATATCATTTACCTTTGGTCAGTTTTCTTTTGCTCGTCATCTTTGAAAGACATATCTTTTTCCTGTGTCTTAATTCAAAAAGAAAGAATTTTTTAAGCCCTGGTTTGTAAGCTATATAAGAACATGTATTTTGAGAAGTAGTATAATATTTGTAGTTTTAATTGCAAGATTTTCAGTAGTAGCAAATGCATCTCTATTGGACCAGTGATCAGCATTTTATGATCCATGTACTAGCTGAGTATTTTGAGATGATATTTTAATAATATAGCTGAAGCTGAAACTAGAAAACATGGTGAGATAAAGTTTGTTCTGAGTACCTGCTTTGTCTCATTTTTGTCCCACACAGTACCCCTATTCTGTAGAAGACCTTCCTTGATTCCAGATGCCTCTCATTGGTTATTTTTCACCCAATTCCCGATAAGGTGCTAACTGATATCCGAAATAATAAGTGAAGTGATATGGCATAGTAAAGAATTTTCCTATCACTACTGATCCTTGGCAATTTGCTTAGCCTCTCTAGCCTTCTCTTAAAGAAGGGATGATAATAGTATGTACCGCACAGGGCTTTTGTGAAGTTTAAATGCAGTAATCCATATAAAGTACCAATAAACGTTTAGCAAATACTAACTGCTGTATAGTCATTACTTTTGACTTCTCACCAGATTGGTTACAGTTTAAGGTTAGTTCCTGCTTTTATAGCTGACAAAAGTAGTATTCCAGCTAATCCCTAGCCTGAAACTTCCTTTCTTTCTAGCCATCTATCTGTGATCTTGTTAGCAGCTCACTGTGGGGAGAGCATTTTCTAGGCTGCCTCTAACTAGGCTTAACCTATGGGATCCAACAAGCCGTAGCACCCTTGATCACAGTTACCTTCCTGCGTTTGCCATGCAGGTACATTTCTGTAGGTGCAGAAGTGACAGACATTCCATTCTTGAAAGATTGCCAGTATTAATAAACTTAATTCCTGCCTTATGAGGGTAAAAACAGATATATTAAGTAAACTTAGAGAAATATAATTATGAAATTACTGTATATAGAGAGAATTTTACTGTAACTTTAAATTGTTTGTTGGAAAAGGGAGAGAATAAAATAAATAAGTGAAAAATCAACAGTATCCATTGTTGAGTTAGGATGGGTGGAATTCAGCAGGCCAAGTCCTTGGTAAGATAATTTTTTTCTGTAATAAAGGCAGTCTGATACAGAGGACTGATAAAGGAGGTATGTGGTGTAAAAGCTAGAGCAAGGATGGATGGAAGGATGGATGGGACAAGACAGCGCAGGAGGGTAACGAAAGGACAGGCTGAGCAGATGGTCTTTGAGCCCTGCTACGTGCAAAGCAGTGTGCTCTCTGCTGGAGGTAGGACGGTGAGCAAGTCCAAAAAACAGTTTTTAAAAAGAGCTGAGCACTATGGACAAGCAGGCAAGATACAGGTGTACAGTGACCTGGAGGAATCTTACTCAGTGGGCTCTGCACATTTGTCACCAAGACTATTAGCATTGTGTAAAGAAAAGATAAAGAGGTTCAGAGTACAGTGATAGCCTATATGAAAAGTAAGATTTATGTTGCATTACTGTGAGTAGTGCTTTAAAATTGAAATCCTTTTCTTTTCAAGTCACTGATTGGCTGGAGGAATGTAACACGGCTGCTGGTGTTTTCCACGGATGCTGGGTTTCACTTTGCTGGAGACGGGAAACTAGGTGGCATTGTTTTACCAAATGATGGGCAATGCCACCTGGAAAATGATGTGTACACAATGAGCCATTATTACGTAAGTGCTTAGTTCCTTATGTAGTGAATGTGCTTATGTTGAATTTTAGCGTTTAATACTAGGAGTATTGTGGGTGACTGGCTTGTGGGTTTTTCGGGGTTTGGAGTTTTGTTATTTTGGCCCTAACCCAATGTACAGGAAAACTAGTATTGCTGTTTGTGAAGTTGCGGCTTAGTGTGTGCTTCTTTCTGGTTAGACAAAGGCCTCCCTGGGGTGGGAATGGGATGCTCAGACTCCACCTTAACTCTTTCCCTCAACTCTGTCTCCTCTCACCTGCACACATGATTTGGTAGCAAAGTTGGCATTATTTCTGAACAAATAATTTATCTGGTCTTATTCTCTATCTTACATGATTTTTAAAAGCAGACACTCTGCCTTTATTGAAAATAAAGATTGGCGAATTATTCAAGTTCTAGAAGAAAAATTCAAACATTGGTGAATCTTGGTCTTTTTCTTAAGTGATATGTAATAGAAACTTTAACTACTGGCTATTGTTTAATTTCTTTGGTCTTACATTTAATATACAGAACTAATCTTACTATTTAAAACCTTTTTAATATGGAAATTTTTATACACACATGAAAGTAGAAGAGGATTAGAAACTCACATATACACACTACCCACTTTACATTTGGTACTCTTATTTGAAAGCAGTCTTGTGTAAGTAATCCAGTTATATATGCAAGTCATTATTACTTTCAAAAAGTATTGAAAAATCTGGAATAGATTGGAAGGATGTATTTACATACTAAATTATATTACTTAATTTCTTAGGATTATCCTTCTATTGCTCACCTTGTCCAGAAACTCAGTGAAAATAACATTCAGACGATTTTTGCAGTCACTGAAGAATTTCAGCCTGTTTACAAGGTAAGTGTGTTTGCGATAAGAAAGACAAAGTTCCAGACATTTTTTTGTTTAGTCATTAGAAGCCAATCATATGTGAATTGAAATGTGGGAAAGTGCCACTAGGTAGGCAAACTGAATTTTACTGAAGTGGTTTATATTAATTTTTGATCACGTATTATAAAACTAGTTGTGTTTTTCAGGTTTGACTCCTAAAGTTATTTATGAAATGTGTAGGGAACTGGTATTTAAAGACAAATGTTAGTTGTTCAGTAGATGCTACTTAGTTGAATGAATAGTATTTATATTTTACGTATTTTATTTTTTTAATTGCAGGAACTGAAAAATTTGATCCCTAAGTCAGCAGTAGGAACATTATCTGCAAATTCTAGCAATGTAATTCAGTTGATCATTGATGCATACAATGTGAGTACATTTTAAATACGATCAGTTTTGGACAATACTCTGTTGAGAATAGTTTGCTCAAAGAAAGTAAAACTTCCTTCATATACAATTTAGTTAGCCCAAAGGACAACAAAAAACCTTAAATTCTATATCGGAAGAAAAAACTATACATGTTGTCTTACAAAAGCACAATTATTTACGTAGCCTAAACAAAGCAAAAGTATGATAAAGGCATGTGGGGAAAATTTCTAAATATCTGTATGTCATTAAGCAATAGATCTCCTTGTTGGAAAACAATTGTAAAACATAATTTATATTTAGTTTTATAGGATTCCCTCAATCTTCTTCCTCCTCCCCAAAGTATCCTTTATATTAACAGATTCATCTATTTTGATGAATTGTGCTAGAAAAGCTTTTTTGATAATTCTCCTCTTCCCATGTATTCAGAGACTACAGTTTTCCACTGTCAAGAGGTATACACACTCATATATACACTCACCATAAAATATGTAAACATGTAAATATATGACTTGCCTATTTAAAAAGGATTTATAGGATTTTTTCCCCACATGGAAGGAAGTTGAATTGAGCTTCTCCTTTTAGAGCTTAATTCAGAGTACCTTTAATGGTACCCATTTAGCATTGGTTAATAATCATTTT